CAACACAAATGAAAGAATGTCTGAGGAAAATGTCGAGGGGATTAATCAACACCTGTACACCTCGGATGTGGATTTCACAGAAGAGGCTCTAGACAAAGAGACGGGCAGGGATCGAAAACTGTTTGCTCTCCAAATATTTTCAGCATTTCATTCATAATTTGCATTTTTGTGGTTGAGGTGTATAAAAACTAAACAAACTGAATAAAATCAGTGACATCAAAGTTCTTTTACTTTTTGATAATCGATTATGTATATTTATCACCTAGCCACTGATAAAAGCTACTTTTTCATATTTATCAGGCTTCTTGTCATTCTCAGGAAATATACCACTCAATCTGAAAAAAGCAACAATTAATCTTAAAGGTAAATTCAATGTTTGAGCTGCAACTGTATAAACTGTAGGTCTAGTTTGGAATTAAAGACATTTAAACAAGCAATAAATAAACAAATACAATAAGCCCATTAATAATCAACTTGATACATTTTAAGTAAAGTAGTCCTTTTTTGAAGCTATGTTATTCTTTGTAGATCTAAAACTCAAAAATTAAGGCATGTAGTTTCTAATTCATTTCGGCTCGAGTGAACAAATTTATTCTCATTATAAGAACAGGATTTGGGTCGCTTTCTTTCAAAACCCTAGCTATATTTAGCCAAGTTGAGTAAATCAGATAAAAGCTGATTTGGGGGCAGAAGAGTTGGTTATAAAAAGGAAAATACTTAAGATTGTTAGTGATAATTTTACCCAGGTTACAAATAAAAATAAAAATCTCCATCTGCATCAAACACCTGTGATGTACGGGGGAAATATTGACCATTCTTCAACTGCAGCATGCTGCATAAATTCAGTAAAAGGGCCACAAATGGCCCTCGGACCGCACTCTGAGCACCCCTGGTTCAGACAATTGTGCAAGGAAGTTTCTGATCATAACAGAAACAAATCCCAAACGAAGGGATTTAAATCCATCAGAGTGTTTTTAAAATCCTCTTGAAGGCGTGGAGAAACCGTCAGTCTGGTTCAATCTTCCTGGTGTTTGCGCACACACACACACACACACACACACACACACACACACACACACACACACACACACACACACACACACACACAATCACATGTGCTTATTAGTGCTCACACCTATTACTTTCACACTCATTATAACAAACACAATTTACTACATTAGAGCGGTGCATGCTCTCTGTGACCTAACACGAACTAATATGGCGCTGTGTTGTCTGCGCGATGTGCAGCGAGCAGACGATGTTGTGAGGTGATAATGACCAACCGGCGTAATTGCTCTGCCCGGAGGAGAACCGCAATCACCGCCGCCGCTATTATGTAATAAAGCTGGCTGATATGGAGCAGGTGAGCTGAGTCGGTTCGTTTGGAGAATCTGCAGCGAGGAATATAGCTTCGATAAAGATCAAAATCACGGCAATGCTTTTAAAACAACGTCTTAATTTACAGCTCTTACTCATTTCGTCTGAATTGCATAGATTACAGAGAGGAATGTGAAATATAAATGAAAGGCTGGAGGGCCGTTTGTGGCCCTTTAGTGAATTTGTGCGTAGGCCTGCAGCAATAAACAATAAATCAGATAATGGCGTGATAAATTAAAACAAAATTAATAATTTCCATTTATTTTTACTTTTACTGAACAGCAGACTCTTTTGCCCCCAAATCAGTTTTATCTAATTTACCAAACTTGGCCAAATACAGCAAACATTTTGAAAGAAAGAGACCCAAATCCTGTTCTTAGAACTGGAAACAAATTTGTGCAATTAAGCCCAAAAGATTTACAAACCCTTCTTTTTAAATATTTAGAGCTGCACAGGATAACATCTACTTTGCTTGCTTGGTTAAAATTTTGCACATTTAGTTTATTGTTGAGTAAGCAAAAAAAAAAAACATTTGAAATCACAACAAAAAGTTGGGACAAAAATTTGTAAATAAAGTTTTGATAATACTGAGAAACTATTTTGTAGATCCACATTTAAAGCAGAAATCTTCAAATTTAAAGGCATGAAGTACATGATGAACAAAATTTAGTGAAGAAGGTAAATTTGTGAATGAGCGGAACAGGAAGTGGTTTTATTTTGACATCCTTGGAATAGCAGCTAGCTTAGCATTGAGAGAATGTCGGAGGAAAGCTATGTTCACTTTGCCTGAAAAGGATCCAAGGTTATTATGTGATCCTACTACGAAGCTACATTCAGTATAAACAGATTGTTATGAACCATTAACATCCCATAATAATCTACCAACAACATGGGCTAATAATCAACCTCATTCCAGCAGCTGCAGTCTGCACAATGCAAAAACGCAAAGTTTCTAATGCAAATATATTGGCACACCTGAAATACGACTAAGCAAACTTATAAATAACTTTTCATCAAGAAACAGGAACTTGTTAATAATTCCTTTATTATAGGAGAAAAAGTTATAATTCTGGCAGTTTGTTTCATTTAGAATGAAACATTTTTCCCATTTTTAAGTGAAATAATCTGCCAGTGGAACTTTTTCATCAATACTAAATGAATTATTTACTTACTTAGAAATGGCTCATGGTTCTTTATCAGAGATAAAAGAGAAATCCAACAACCGCTAAAAATTGCCACTACATTTTGTTTACATTTTGTGAAGAAGGAAGTTGTGTTCAGTGACTTCTTCATAGGTTTTTGTCTCGTTTTCTACAGTGATTCCTGATTCAGCGCCACTGCAGGTGAGGAGGGAAGCAGGTTTTCTAATTGGTTTGACACCAAAGTGTGAAAGAGAAAAATTTATAAAATGTTGCCAAGTGGACTGCAGCACAGGGCATTCTGGGTAAATGCAACCAAAACAAACGTGTGAGTTTAGCACTCGAAGGAGAAATGACTCGTGTTTCTTTTACCAAAGACAAAAGAGAAATCTTACAACTGCTACAATTTGACACCACTCCATTTCTGTTGCGTTCGTGTCTTCTTGAGGTTTTTGCATCGCTTCCTTCAGTGGTTCTTGTTGCAGCGCCCCCACAGGTGAGGAGGGGAAGAGGCTTTCCAATTGGTTTGGTTTGTTTGGCTCAGTGCAATGAGGAACCAAACCACAGCAGCTGAAAAATGTAACAAATGTTGCAGTTTTGGAATCAAACCGAGTCTCCTGGACTGTCAGGAGTGAAAACACTCCAACTAAACCTGATCAAACAAAACTGGAAGATCCAACAATTCCCAAGCAAGGTGCAGCACTGCCCACCTCTTCATTGCTTGCACCTGCTAAAACATTTGTGGCATCTGAGCAGCAGTGCAACACATTTGCTTTTCATTTAACCTGCCATTGGAGACCTTTGAAGTACATAATAGCAGAGCAGCGCAGGTCCCCCTCCCACTCCCTCCAATCATTTACCTAGTAAAGGCGCATTCTCTGCAGCTAACCCGTCAAGCGGAAAACGAGTTTGGCCCAGTATTCCTCCCTCTCCGCTCTGCGTGTGTCACTCCCCTTCCCTTCCCACTGTGAACGCCTCTTGCAGTCCCTCTCTGCTCCTGAATGATGGTGTCAGCCGTTGGCCCCGTTTGGCTGTGAAAGGTTTCCGCGGCTGACAGCTCTTTGACACAAACACGGCTAATTATCGTTCGCGTCCAATCGTGAGGAAATTTACTGGCAAACGACGAACGCCAACAAAGCTCCGGTGGAAAATTTGACTTGGAGCCGGAGCCAAAATTGTCTTAATTTTTAATCATCTTCGGTGATAATAGCATATGGTTTTATTTTTGCCTGTAAATGTCCTCATTAGACAGATGGGGCTCTGAGTGTGTGATGCTGGATGTGTCCAAGGGAGAGTGTAGAGGCAATTAGAGTAATTCTGTCACCACTCTAATGTGATTATTATGTATTAGATTAAATCTGTTGGCCTTTTTTGTGCGTTTCTTATCTGGGTTTAGGGAGATGGAAATGCTGAATGTTGGAATTAATCAGAAGAAGCTCTGAAGTGAATGACTGCATGGCTAAAGTTCCTGTTTATTAGTTAACTCTGGTGATGAACTGCTTCACATTACAGCAGAAAGCTCATCTGGAGAGGTTTCCTTTTAATGTTCATTGAGGCCACGGTTCTCAAACCGTGGCACAGGGGCCACTGTTGGTACCTGGGATGCCTTTAGTTGTTCCCAGAAGAGTTTTGCTAAATTCAATTTAACCATCTTCCACATATAAATCTCAATAAATTAGAATATTGTGAAAAGCTACATTCACAACTCAAATATTTTTTGTTGTTACCGAAATCTAATTTTGTTGTTGTTGTGGTTGTTCATACAAATTAAATGCAACTGCAATCAGACTTCTGTGTGAATGGTTCACGTTCCCAAAGCGACCCGAACACAAGAAGAGGAAGAACGTAAACGTTACACAGTAACGCTCTGTTTAAAGAAGCAACAATGGCTGCTGCCATCTATGGATCAATTTAAAATATTATGTAAAATCTGCCTTTTTGAGGTTTGCGTCACATTATAATGTTATTCCTCAATAAAAACTGCAGTGTTGCTGTGATTCTTTCATGTATGTTTAGGAAATCTCCCGTTTCAAGCATTGAGGTGTGAAACGGGGTTCAGCTCCTCTAGACTAGCAACGGACTGGAATCTCACTCAGAAATCAAGCTGAAGTATTTCTGAAGCTCCGTCTGGCTCTCTGCTACCCTCCATCTAGCATAGCCTGGCATGAATGCTAGGCTAGTTAGCAAAGACGGCAGATAAATGGTTTTCCTATAGCGGTATGCCGTTTCTCCACCACTAGCAAATTTAGCAGCACGTACATGAGGATGAATGACAAAGTTAAGCCAAGCCTCCTGACTCTGATTGGTTGTTTTTGTGCATTTCTTCAGACGGAAGTAATATTTCAGTGAGGAGGTGGAGGAGATCGATCTTTTCACAGATTATCTGCCTCATGTTAAACTGTCACAACATGATGACGGTTTAAAAAATATGCAAAAAAACACAGTTTTCTTTTAGAAAATGTACAAACTGTAGCTACAAATCAGAAACAGAGGATGTACTTTATTTTTCCTTGACCCATAAGAGCTAAAACTTAAAAGAGCTAATCAACGGTTTTAAAAATTAACCCCAAATATCAAGAAATAGGCAAAAAAAAAAAAAGGACGAAAAAACAAACAGAGCTTAAAATTAAATAAATCACACCTGGATTCCTGGTAAGAACTGGCAGAGAGCTTCTAATATTGCACTCAAATTGCTCCATTTGTTCTCTAAAATATTTTAATCCCTTCTGACCTCAAACTTCCCATGAACCAGGACCTGAACAAAAGGCCGCCCACTGTCCTCGCAGTAAATCTGTTGTCTCCCTTCTGGGCCCTCAACGGGGGATCATAGATCAGCGCCGCGCTGCAGCTTGCTTCAATTTACTCAATTAACTGCAGCTAAAGCACTTGTAAGTTCTGCAGATGTTGGTTTATTATGGAGGCCGAGAACGTACAAGTGGGTTCAGGAACCAGTGGGGGAGGGGCAGCGAGGTTCATAACTGGGCAAGATTGAAGATTGGAGGGTAAACTAATATAAATCTCACCGTTTGGAAAATAACATATCACTGTAAAGCTAATGGTTATCTCTGCTCTGACTTCAAGATTTATCAGAAAATCTCAGATTCTCATGAATTAAAGAAAAACGTTGTGGGATAATTTAAGGTAAAAGTGACACGAAGGTATGCAAAGTACACAGTCAGGATGCTAACACTAACCAGGTGTGGTTAGCGTCCCCATAAAACATCCTGCCAACACCCTGCATGTGCACTCATATATTTTCCTGCTTGGCAAACTACATTTCAATTAAGAGCCACAACACAGGATGACATTCATAGAGCTTTAAAATAAGGTTTTGACAAATTATCTTCTGCTGTCAGACTAATATCCTCGCTGCAGGTTTGGCCTTATTGAGCAGGGGGGCTAGCTCTGCGGAGCCGCTGAGTTTCAGGCCGAGGCCGCGCCGCTTTAATGAGCTGCCGGCTGACGTTAATGTGAGCGGTTCTTCAGAACCACGGCAGCCGATCGCTTCGGTTTCTCTGTCAATATGAGCAACAATCAGCTGGGAAAAATAAAAAACAGAACCAAAATGATCATGACAGGTTTGTGTCACTCTGACGATAAATTAAACATTTGTAACATCTTAAAGTTGGTAAAACTGTGTAAAAAGCCCTATGAATTAATTAATGTTTTATCACAGTATTATGAGTTAGAGGTGTCATATTTGGTATCAATAATACCAATATTAGCGGTGCACCGATTGCAGCTTTCTGGCCGATCCAGCATTGCCGATCTTTAAAAATCACGACCTGCCGATTCCAATTTTAGTTTTTTTTTCATCTGAAATGCAGAGTTGGATAATAGTTAGTTAAATTTACTCAGTTTCATTTACTTGAGTCACATTTTTGAAAAAAATAAAATACCTTTTACTACTGTATGTTTTACTTTTACTTGGGTAAAAAATCTAAGTTTGTGACAGTAACTTCAGAAAATGTGGAGGAGTTTAACACCTTTGATTTGAATGGAAAACAATATTTGTGCTACTTTACAGGAAGCTGATCTTCCAGACCGAATACTGTAAAATCTATTAGTGCAAAGCAAGCAACAACTATGACTCACAAAGCGCAAGAAAAAAAGAAAATAAGATGAGTCTCACTCTTAAATGATTTCCCACATTTACAAGATGAAAAGTCAGACAAAGTCTTTTGGGAGGCTATGAGAAGGAATTCCCCTAATTATATTCCCTGTGGGTAGAGCGTAATTTATTCAAGTTAATGCGTCTTATTTTCTGTTCAAGGTGTATGCCACGGAATTAGCAAACAAATTTAATTGTTAATCCATCTGCTTTGAAACAACCGAGATCTTGTTCCATAAGCTGTGAGTCAGCCTGATCCAATTAAACTAGAACGGAGACATTTGTAATCATTCGCCATCACGCCACCCCTGCAACCTACACAGATACACGCACCAAACCGGCTTATGCTATTCCAGAGGAAGCGCACTAAACTTGGGTTTGGTGAGCAATAGAGCAACACAAACTGTTTGAAAGGAAGTAGTGACCCCAGAGAGTTTGAGGTCAAAGGTCTTGGGGTAAGAATTGCAAACGACATGTCCACCCTGGGGGTTTGCCTAATAACTTCTTTTTTGGGGGTTTGTGGAAAGCTAATTTCTCCTCTGCCTTTGCTGACAGGTCTTTGGGGAGTGATAAGCAAGTATGGAAGTGTAATGAACTTGTTTTCCTCCTTTAAAGCCCCTCGCTGTCTCCTAAATCACCGGCGGAGCCACCATCTTCTCTCCCACAGCTGCTGCAGCTCTGCAGATCTGAAATACTCCAAGTGGTGAAGATTTTAAGCAGATACTGACCTTTTGTCTTGTCCACTGCTGAATTATTGGCCATGTGGAGCAAATCAATTCATTTCTGAGCTTTTTTTCATGCTAAAAATCCGAAAATGTTCCTCGCCACAATATTTTTCTAAAGGTTTCACTGTAAAAATGCAAAATGTATTTTTGATCTAGTTTCTAACGCAAATATCTTAGTACACTGGAAAAACGGAAAAACTAGCTTACAAGAAACTTTTCAGCAAAATATAGGAGCGAATGAAAAAAGAACCAGTTCCATTGGCAGATTATTAATATACTTTTCCTACGTTGTAAATGAAATGATCTGCCAGTGAAACAACTTTTTCATCAATATTCACTTAAAACAAGCTCATATTTCTCGCTAAAAAGTTACTTATAAGTTAATCTTGTTTTCTTTCAAGTGAACTAAGATATGTATAGTAAATATATGATACAAAATTCTGGGTAAGATTTTGTGCTTTTGCAATGTGAATCAAGATTTATAAAAAATAAATAAAATAGATCCACTTTGACTATAACATGGGAAAAATATCTCGCTATAAGTGAAATAATCTGCCAGTTCAAACTAGTTCTGTGTTGCTAGGCAACGGGCTGGGCTTGGCTGTCGTTGCTAGGTAACAGCACAGATTGTGTTTGTGAAATAAATTACATAATCTGCCAGTAGAACTATAACTTTTTTTTTGTTGAGTTATTCATTTAAAACAAGCTCTTATATGTTGCTGAAAAATTACTTGCAAGTTAGTTTTGTTTTATTTCAAGCGTACTGAGAAATTTGCAGTAGAAACTAGACCAAAAATACTTGGTAGGATTTAATGTTTTTGTCATGAAAAAAAAAAAGTATTTTTTCATTCAATTCTCTGGTTTCCGGTTCAACAAGACGTATAACTCCAGAATGAATTAGAATTTAATCCTTGATTTCAGGTTGTTTTATTTCCTAGATTTTCCTTTTGCATTAAAAAATGTTTAAATTTGGTTTGAGATGAGCCAGTCTGGTTCTGGTTAGCTGAACAGATCTTTATCTCCAGGGAAAACCCAGCAGCATCTGTGAGGATTGATAGGCAGCATTCCTTGATTTTTTCCCCCCGCTCTCCTCCTGATGTAATGACATTATCAATTAGCCTCCATTAATTTAGCAGAAAACAAATAATCACCTCAGCCTGCCTCCCTTCCAGCATGTGGTTCTGATTTCCTGGACGTTTGTCAGTGGCCGCTGTTTTCTTAATCCTTTGGCCAAGGTGGTGCGGCCGGGAGAGGTCACGGCTTTCTCCTCCCTGCAGCTCACTTCCTGTCTGGCATTTCTTCAAAATGCTGAAAAAGTATTTAAAAAGTTAAAATTTAAATTTTTCCCCTCTTTCCCCAAAGTGAAAATGACTGCAAATCAATTTTCTGATTGATAATTGTCTCATGATGCTATCAGCAAAAACAAACACAACAAGCAGGTGAGGGGCGAGGGTCATTTATGTATCTAGAAGTCTGATTTCTATAGAAAAGAGCTGTAAATTATTGTAGATCTGAAACATAAGATCTAGCAGGTTTAAAAAAAACAAACACTTTTATCTCTTGGGTCTGTTTTTTTCCCCATTCTTCAAAACCTTTTGCTTTATGAGGTGGAGTTGACCAAATGGGTGGATCAAAGTCTGCTCCGGAGTAAAAGTCCCTGAATGTTTATTGTTTGTTTGTTTGTATCTGCTTTTCAGAGGCAGTGAAAATTTAACAGCATCAAACTCCGACCTTGAACTGAACAAACTAGTTTGTGACATTTTTGTTTTGTGGTTGAGGGCCACACAAAATCACTTCAAGGTCCATGAATGGCCCCCAAGCCACACTTTGGACACCCATACAGTATACATATTTACAACTAACTTTTACTTATATTTCCCCTTTTGATATATTCATATTTAAAATGTTTTCATTGATAGGAAAGTGAAACCAAAGTGAAATTTCTTGTTTTTGAGCACTAACTGGTGAATAAAGCTGGTTGTGGTTCTATTTACCAGATCTTCTGTATAGAACAGGGTTGTCCAAAGTGTGGCCCGGGGGCCATTTGTGGCCCTTGATATGATTTTGATCGGCCCCAACCACAAGTCCAGCCAAAATAAAATGATAACAGCAACATCTGGATATTTTATGGCAAAACGAAAACCACCTGAAACCTTATTATGTTTTGGATCTTCAAAAATTTATACATTTCATAAAACGTTTATCGACCAGGTGAAACTAAAAAAAGAAAAATCACAATAAACTCATCTTTAACACATTTTGTGGCCTGTGAGAAGCTTAATTTATCTAGTTTTGGCTAAAAGTTTGGACATCACACTGACAGCTTTCTGTATCACCTCAGCTCCCTCATTTATGAAACTATTTCCAAACATGCTTTTTATTTATTTTTTTCTTTAAATAACGACAGACATGTTCAACACTTTCTTCATTTGAACGTTTCCTTATCATTTCAAAATCTTTGTGGGATGTTGGTAGAAGCTTATCTGCTTACAGATTAAATTAAACAGAAACGATTTTGTTTAAATCTTAATCTAAACTGCTGTATTTTCTCGATAGCAGAGCATGTTGTCGGCTATGTGATTGCTTCCCCCCGTCTATCCTATTTATTTTAGACTGGAGGGAACAAATCTCCAGCTTCTCCTTCTGGTTGCCACACAGTAATTCCTGAGGAAAAATCAAGGACCTTGAAGCGTGTTAATGCTCACATATTGAAGCCTTACAGCGTGGTTAAGATACTGTACCTGTGAGGCAGCGCAGATAAGAAGGTGTGGACAGTGATGCGAAGTTTCTGGGAAGCATGTTTGGGTAATATTGCATCTAAACACTTTAAAGTTGGCGTAACTCATGGCCACACTTTGTCCCATTGTGAAGCAGAGCTAAACTCTCTCCTGGAAAATAAAAGGTGCCTCAATGGGAAGAAGTCTGGGTAAAACCTCTCAATTTTAGTTATGAAAGTACAAAAACACTAAGAACACTGTAAGGCCTTCACAGGATTAAGTGGGTATTAAAACTTGGGTGTAGAAATGTCAATTTATTCAAATCTGTCATCATAATTTCAAAATTGTTGAAATATATGAGTTTTATATCAGTTGGTATAGATAATTATTCGGTTTTTTTTGTCTTAAATATCTGAAATATTGTCAAACTGATGGTGTAACCTTTCCAGTTTTATCCGGTTTTCATTCCACATTGTTGTTTTTTTTTACTTTTAAGCAGTTATGAGTCACAGTGGCGAAACTTTAAACTGCTGCTGTCTAAATTACTCAACAGATTGTTGCTAGGTAACCAAAGAGAGTGAGTTACTAGGCAACCAAAGTGTGAGTATTCTATATATGGACTATTCATTCATATTATATCTATCTTTATATATCTATATATGTATATATATACATATATGTATATCTATATATATAGAGAGAGAGCTCACGTGTGTCGTGATTTATACTGTTTGTGATTTACTGTCCAGTCCTCTGTGCTCCACGCTATTGTTGTCCCTTAAACACTTTAACTGCATGTTTTTTTGAAGGCATTATGAATTACACAATTGCTAATATTGGCCGTGATGTTTATTCTTTTCAGAATTTGCTTTTTTCATAGAAATCTGAGGATTTTTTTTTTAAATTCTGACTTTAATCTAAAGAGATCAAAAGTAAATAAAAAATTTAATTCTGAGAACAAAGTCAGAACTTAAAACAAAAACACAACTCTGAGAAAAAAAGAATGAAAAAAAAAACTGGACATTTTCAGGAAAAAAGTCAGAATTTAAAGACTTACCTGAGAATTCTGAGAACAACGTTAGAATTAAAAATAACAAATTCTGAGAACAGTCAAAATTCAAAGAAATAAATGAATAAATAAAAAAATAAAAATCTGAATTCTGAGGTGAAAATCTGAATTCTTTTTGTCGTTTTGTTTTTT